TTTTAAAAAATAAAAATAAAATTCAGCGTTTTTTTTTATATATAAAACATGAATTTATTAAAAAAATCTATAAATTTAAATTAATAAAAACGTTTTTATACTTTAACTGCACACCGCGGAGTTTACTAAAATACATTTATTTGCTTTTTCCCGAATTAAGTCTCACTTTTAAACCAGGGTTAAGAAAACCAACAAATAGTATATGCAATACTAGCCCAGGCCATCATATTGCCGATGGAATTAATATTGCGATAGCATTGAATGGTTTTGGGTAATCGTCGGTGGGGCAACGAGCGGCGCGTGCCTCTTTAATTGCAGATTGGGTTAGTGCTAGCCGCATAAGATTACTTGCCGGGTAGAGCCTTTGCGCCCCTTGATAAAAGCTGAAAGTATGCTGGTTGTATATGCCGCCCATAGCCAAAACCATATAACTTCAGAGGGTTGATGTGTTCCGTATTCACAATACTCACCTACAAAAGTCCAATCGCCATACTTTATGGGTAGGTGGAAAGGGAATTAGACATAACACAATCAATCAAATACTAACTATGTTGTAACTAAATTGGGATCTCGAGGTGATGGCAAGTAGAGTTGGGCGCCTATGGAGAAGGTAGGCCTGTGATTAGAGTTTTATGTCTTATTGCTATTGGCCCTCGAATAATCGAGCTAAGCGGTTTTCGTGGTATGTCAGAAATAGCGAAGTTGCAGCCCAAACTTCTTTTTAGTTTCTTTCTCAAATTAACCCTCTTTAACCATTTTCAACTCGCACTTCGTTGGTCTCAATCAAATGCTAACTATGCTTCTTTACGTGTATACGATACCGCCAACATCCCGTCCGTTTAGATGGCTCGTCAGCAGCCGTAGATAAAGTCCCAGCACTACTTTGTAAGATTCTTTCGCTATGAAGAGTGTGCTGGGGAGATCATTAACCGCAACCTCGCCCAAACTCCTTCTATTCACGATAGAAGCTAACGTGATCTTTTAAACACGTATCTCTCTAGGAACCTCACCCGACCTAGTCTCAACTTGCGTTACAGCGGACCTATGTTCAGTAGCATCTGTCAAGCGCTATAGCCGACGAAGCTGTTCTTACAGCAATAACTACGGTTATCAGAAGCTTTGCGACAGGCTTAACTTTATCACACAAGTATTCTCTCGTAATACCCACTTAAAAGAAACAGAAGATTACAGGGAATGATAGCGACGCGAAAGAGGTCCTTGAAATCGAACTAGGGTTATTAGCGCAGAGAATCTATACATTGGAACACGCTGCAAGCTGGGCAATCAATCCGGTGATGCCAGCCACACTAAATGACACTGCCGTTACAAAACCGCCTTTCAGCGATGCAGACAAAACTTTGCCGCAGTCTCACAAGCACACACCATGTATACTGATTACCTGCACTACCTCTCCTTCGGTTGAATCTACCCTCGATGACGATCTGCTAAATGATTGTGGCAAAGAAGCTCAATCGTTTCCAGCACATGGGAACACACAATTAAAGACAATAGATTTACGGAGCGGTAAGATGGTAGGCGCTAATTCTGCATTGTAGGAGGAACAGCAGCCGCCGGCTATCGAGCTAGGAGATGTGGGGAGACGGGTTGCAATCGAGCGAGAACTTGAAAAACACTAGCAGGCCAACAGAGCATTTCAAAAGGCTCTACGTGAGATCGGGCATATTGTGACAGCCGTTGCAAAAGGAGATCTGAGTTAGAAGGTGTAAATTCACACCGTTGAGATTGATACGGAAATCACAACTTTTAAATACAATTAATACGATGATCGATCAGCTACAAACATTCTCTAGCGAGGTTCTCTCGTGTTGCTCGGGAGGTTGGTACAGAAGGGATACTTGGTGGGCAAGCTCAAATCGACGGCATCGATGGGACCTGGAAAGAGCTGACGAATAATGGCAAGTCCCCTGGTCTTCCCATGGCGTGTCTTGTTAACGCTAGATAGTGAATGTCATGGCGCAGAACTTGACCGATCAAGTGCGCGAGATCGCTACAGTGACAACAGCCGTAGCACATGGGGATCTGACGCGGAAGATTGAGCGGTCTGCGCAGGGCGAGATTTTCCAGCTTCAACAGACAATCAATACCATAGTAGACCAGCTCCGGACCTTTGCTGCCCAAGTTACTCGTGTCGCCCGTGACGTGGGTATAGAGGGTATCCTCGGCGGGCAGGTTGAAATCGAAGGCGTCAAGGGGATGTGGAATACGCTGATCGTGAACATTAATGCGATGGCCAACAACCTTACCACGTAAGTAAGGGATATTGCGGTGACTACAGCGGTTGCGAAAGGCGATCTGACGCAGAAAGTACAAGCGGAATGCAAGGGCGAAATCTTCGAGCTCAAGTTGACAATAAATTCCATGGTGGATCAATTGCAACAGTTCACCCAAGAAGTTACAAAGACTGCCAGAGAGGTCGGGACCGAGGGCAGACTTGGTGGTCAAGCTACCGTGCACGACGTTGAGGGCACATGGTGGGATCTCACCGAAAATGTCAATGGTATGGCTATGAATCTCATTACTCAGGTGCGACAGATAGCCAAGATTACGACTGCGGTAGCCAAAGGCGACCTGAGCAAGAAAATCGCTGTCGAAGTCAAGGGCGAGATTCTTGATCTCAGGAACACGATCAACACCACCTTCGCATCTGAAGTAAGCAAAGTGGCTCGTGAGGTCGGGACGGATGGAACTCTCGGCGGCCAGGCGCATGTCGATCATGTGGAGGGGAAGTGGAAGGATCTCACCGATAATGTCAACACGATGGCCTCCAACTTGACGTCCCAAGTTCGCGCCATCTCTACCGTTACTCAAGCAATTGCCAATGGAGACATGAGTCAGAAGATCGATGTCCAAGCAGCTGGGGAGATTTTGGTACTCAAGGATACTGTCAATAACATGGTAGATCAGCTATCGATCTTCTCCAACGAAGTGCAGAAGGTGGCGAAGGATGTAGGCGTTTATGGCAAGATGGGTGTACAAGCCGATGTTGCAGGCATTCGGGGTCGCTGGAAGGAGATCACCACGGATGTCAACACCATGGCTATGAATCTTACGGCGCAGGTGCGGGCCTTTGGCGACATCACGAATGCTGCGACCGACGGTGACTTTACCAAGCTAATCACGGTCGATGCCTCTGGTGAAATGGACGAACTCAAACAGAAGATCAACCAAATGGTCTTCAATTTACGCCACAGCATCCGGCGCCACACTGCGGCGAAAGAAGCAGCCGAGCTTGCAAACAAGTCGAAGTCGGAATTCCTAGCCAACATGTCCCACGAGATCCGAACTCCCATGAACGGGATAATTGGGATGACTCAACTCGCACTGGACACAAAGCCTACCCACTACCAGTGGGAGATGCTTAGCATTGTACACGGCCAGGCGAACAGTCTGATGGTCATTATCAATGACATCTTGGATTTGTCGAAGATCGAAGCGAATTGCATGCTTTTAGAGGAGATTCCGTACCAATTGCGCGGAACAGTGTTTAGCGCACTCAAAAGCCTCACCATGAAGGCGCACGAGAAGTCCCTGGAACTTCGATACATGGTAGATAGCTCGGTGCCTGACCATGTGATCGGAGACCCCTCTCGCCTGCGTCAAGTCATCTTAAACTTGGTTGGAAATGCTGTCAAGTTTACAGAACGCGGCGGAATCAGCATCATGATTCGAATAGCAAAGCAGGTTACTTGCTCTTCAGATGAGTGTGCGATCAAGTTCACTATATCAAGCACGGGTATTAGCATTCAGCAGAACAAACTGGGCCTGATTTTTGACACCTTCCAACAAGCAGATGAGTCAATTACTTGGAAATATGGCGGTACAGGCCTCGGCCTATCGATATCCAGAAGACTTGCGAATCTAATAAGAAGAGATATCCGGGTGGAGAGTCAGTACGGCAAAGGTAGCTCATTCGTCTTCACCTGCATGGCCCGGCTCGCTGCCTCCGACATCGGCTCCATCTCAAAGCATCTCAAACCGTACCAAGGCTATAAGGTACTCTTCATTGATCAAGGACGGACCAGGCATGGAAAGGAGATAGCGTTGATGCTGACAGAAATCGGCTGTGTACCGGTCGTTGTTAATTCCGTCCTGCGTATCAGACGACCAGGTGGACAGGTACCGGAGGTTCTGTATGTTGTCATAATTGTCGATTCAATGGTAACTGCGAAGGAGCTACGTTCAATTGATGATTTCAAAAACATTCCTATTCTATTGTTAGCCCCTCAGGATCACGTCAGCCTCAAACCCGCACTGGATCTCGGCATCGCCTCATACATGACAACACCTTGTCTAACGATCGACCTTGGAAATACCGTGCTTCAAGCTTTAGAGGAGCTAGCGGCACCGCCGCCAACTAACAATATCAACTCGCTGGCTATCCTTTTAGCTGAAGACAATGTCGTCAATCAGAAATTTGCTGTAAAGGTCTTGGAAAAGTATCATGTTGTAACTGTTGTTGTTAATGGGCTCGAAGCTTTTGAAGCTGTCAAGGCAAGAAGATATGATATTGTGCTGATGGATGTGCACATGCCAATCATGGTGAGTTCCCTACGACTAATTTCTATCCTCATATCGTGACAGCAGCTCAGGGGGCTTTGAAGCCACGGCGAAGATTAGGGACTACGAGCGGAGTCAAGGCGCTCAATGGATTCCGATTATCGCACTCACTGCCCATGCCATGTTAGGAGATCGAGAGAAGTGCATACAAGCCGGGATGGATGAATACCTGTCCAAGCCACTCAACCAGAGTCACTTAGTCCGGAAAATCTCTAGATGCATATCGCATGCGGTGGCTCCTAACTCGTCATGACTTAGAAGCTGCGATGTGACTTGGCTATACGGGCCGCTACGACTAGATCAGAGAGCCGTTGAGACTACCTTCATCCTCTATGGCCAGCAGCCGCCGCGTCTCGAATTCCCAACTCCTTCAACCACAAGCCAAGCCTGAAAGAGTGAAGTATATCGGAGACTACGCTTGGGAAGTCGCTTTCAGCATCATCACTAGTCAAGCAGGCAACTGCAGAAATCCAGGCACTGCAATTTCGTAAAGCCGGAGGAAGATGCGATGGTCTGGTGCGGGACGGTCACGTTACCGTTCACTTAGAGATTCGCATCTCCTGGCGCAGGAGAAGGGAGGGTATTCATTTCAATGTGCGAGTCGAGCATTATATTGCGTTAGAAATGGCGGATGACCTGTAGTCATTCAGAGGCTGTGCTGTAATCTCCCGTTAGACAGTACCTTCGCTGTTCTAAATTTGTGTGTTGATACTCGCTATACAGAGGGAGCCAAAAAGGGATCCCCATAAGGGACGGGAGTGGCTGTCGCTTAGTGGGGAATAAATCTGGGAACCCTGAGCATATTGCTGTGATTTGTACGCATTACTCGGTTTTGTACAAACAGCTGCAGTAATGTGATAGGTCCAAGCCTATACAACTAGCGATAATCTCAGGATTTGAGTGCTTAACTTGATAAATTTGTTTTTGCCTAAAAGGAGGTATTTGCGAGAAAGAAAAGGTCACATGACCAAGTTCTATTTCTCCTTCAGGCTAAAATGAATCTCCAAGTTTGATCTTGCGTCAATTTAGGTGAAGACTTCGATACGATTTCGAAAATCGGGAGTTATTCAGGCTCAGGCTTCATTTGGGGGAAAATTTTTGGGCATAGGCTTATACTTACAAAATTAGCTTTAGGACTCTGCTAAAAACGCAATCAGTCATGACCTTTTTTAATTCTAATTGTTCAAAGAGTGACCTAGGCCGCGACACATCCTCGAATTACTTATTATTCACTGGCACGCGCTAGCTAATATTGCTTAAAATTGTTAACCGGAGTCCTCGGATATAGCTTGGAAATCACACTATAATAAAGTAATAGAGACGAGTTACTAAAGAATATAAACAATGTTTCTTTCTGTCTGAAACCCAAGAACCGTTCTTTGTTATGTGTTTAGTCGAAATTGAGTCATCGTTGTAGATTCACGGCAGACCGAGAAGAGGCCAGTCACTCACTAGTCAACAAGAAAACGCTATTAAGAGAGACTAGCTACGCAAGTGAAGACTAGTCGCTAACCGTAGACTGACAGGTGACGTGAGCGACGTGCTCCAGAACATGATAATGCAACACGCCAAAATTGACACCTTTATTAAGCACTACCTCCGGCGGATAGTCGCCGCTGACACGCGAGCTATCGTCTCCGGCTACGAACTTTAGCGCGACCTAATACGGGCCGCCTGTCGGATAACTCGCTAAATCGATCTTGACCGGCCGCAAGAATTTATCCCCGAGGAATCCCTATCCGTCAATCGGGATCCTTGGCTTTATTGCGGAGCGGGAGAAGTAGAAGCGCCGCTTCTAGGGCACGACGACACAACAGCCCGGGTACCGGATCATCGGCCAAGCGATTTTCAACACTAAGCAGCGGCTGAGAGCTACGCTCCTCAAACATATTCAAAAGCGCTGGGATTTGGAACACTCGATCAACGAGATCGAGCGGCAACTCTCAAGGCTCAAGCTCAGCCAAGACATAAAAACTACCTTGGACTAGAACGATGAGATGCCCCCGTTCTAGAAACGCTTGGCCAAGACGGTAATAACGCTCCCAAGCACGACTATCGAAAAAAAGTTCCGCCGCCGCAATGCGGCTATCGATGCAATCGCTACATATTGCCACTTCCAGGAAAAAAGCGCTACTGCCCTACCACGTAAAAAGTCGTCGACGCGACGGACGAGTTCGATGTTGTCGAAGAAAATTAGCCCCCAGCTAACAGCCACCCAGGCAAAGAAGCAAGCGTTAAGTGACGCTATATTATTAGTGTTTACCGAGAAGAGGACTACTACTTGTTTCCTTTGTTTGGGGGAACAGAGCTTGCTGTTCGAAAAGCGAACTTATAAGTTTACTAGTCCGGGAGACTTGACGAAACACTTTAAGTGGAAGCATCTAGCCAATATCCGAGAAAGAGATCGGCTCGAGTGCAAAGTCTATCGAATAGAAATACAGCATTAACAATATCTCCAGAATTACGCACTAAGCATCCACGGAACCGTTTCCTAATGCTTTGATGATGTACCAAGCAACATAGCCAGACAGTTTAGATTTTGCCCTTTCTTTTCGTTTTTTCGCGCTTAAAGGTGTCGGGTACGGATTGGCATTAGCATTGTGATACTTTCCCAAGGAACTTCGATTCTCAACTCCACAAGGAACGAAGCCCCAGAACCTCGGGTGTGTGCGAAGAAGGCTTAACCCGGGTTCCTTACTGACGGGAAAGAGCCGGAAAGCGCTGGATCCGCAAGACGCAGAAGGAGGTTGGGCTGCAGCAGCAGAAACAAAGGGTGTCTATGAATGAAATGAATAACCGTCTGAAGAATGACAAACCGTGTATCAATCCCCACCCGCCGCAGTGAAGATCAATTTGAATTGGATTCGATTGCGGTGATATCTCCTCCAACTAACTAACAAGTGACCGTAACTATATCTAGTAGGTAATCTTACGTACAGCCTGGCCCAGCCCAGCCCAGCCCAGCTAAGTCAGCTAAGTCAAGTAAGGTTACACATATACATATAAATAAATAGACTATGAATGAGATGGGGTGGGATGAGATGAGATGAGATCTAGATGAAACATACTAGTAAAAAGTCCCCCTCTTCCCCCCCCCCGCCTGCTGCCCCCTTCTCAACAAAGAGGAGGAATTAACGACCCATCGGCCGAGAATAATTGAGATGATATGGTAATTTTGATTACTGAACGCCGAAAGTTGCGGTTGTTTTGTTTTTGTTGAGACGAACGTACAGTACATCCACGTACGCGCGCAAGTACACACAGCTCTGATTTTAAATCTGATGCGAGTGGCTGAGTTATGGAACGAGGATTTTTTTTTATTTTTTTTAGAGATAGCGCGTGCGTGAAGGGTGGTTAACGATGAGGAATCATGAGGAATCATGAGATGAGATAAAATTAAAATGAGGGGTTGGAACACGAAAACACGTACTAGCGTGCTCTCGGCCCAAAAAATGACACGTTTCCCTCCAAAAGGTAAAACGTCCAACCCCTCCGTCCCGCCTTTGGCTTGCATTTTCCCGCCCATGATGAGTCACAACTAAGAAGTCATTGAAACGTATCCAACAGTCTTGTTCCTTTCGGTCCTTCGGTTGTCCGTCACCGCTTCTTGGCTTCTTACCAAGTGTCAAGTCTGAAAGGATAGAGGTCAGAGGTCCATATCATTGGTATGTATGTTGGCGTACATGTATGTGCGTAGAGTAACCCCGCAGCTGAAATGCTTCAATCACGGAAATCCGTGCGTTTGAAGCGGGAGGATTATGAAGCCGATTATTGCGGGGGAAGGTTGCCTTGCCTTGTGTTGCTTCTCATTGAATGCATTCAGCCACAGCCACCTTCCTATTCCGAAGTTCCTCCCCCTCAACAGTTTCCCATTTCCCCTTTTCTGGTTGCTATGTGGACGGGTTCTGCTGTATAAGTACTGGCCAGCTCTCCTGTCTATTTGAGTCTACCTTCCACAGTATCAATTAAACACACGTTCTCTTCATCCTTCTCTATTTCAAAGAAACCAAGCCAACCCCCGCAGATCTATAATCAAAATGTCAGACACCACCCCCACTTCCGCACCAGCAACAGCACCCGCACCAGAGCTCAAAACCTACCATGGCAACTGTCATTGCGGAGCCGTGAAATACACTGTCACTCTCCCCGAAATCACAAGCGTCACCGAATGCGACTGCAGCCTCTGCCTCAAGAAAGGCCACAAATCGTTATTTCCATCCGGAGGCCTCGTCTTCGAGGAGGGAAAAGGAGAGGATAAATTGAAATCTTATGAGTTTGCTGGGAAGACTATCGCTCACAAGGTATGTAATCTTACCCGTTTCCCTGTTTACATATAACCTTGTGTGACTTGTGAGGGGTGGAAGATTTATAATAAGATGTTGGAGAACTGACTAGATACGTGTGAATTGGTAGTTTTGTCCAACTTGTGGAACTGCTGTCATGGCCAGGGGATATGCGGACAGTGGAATGAATATCGGTATCAATGTACGACTTCCACCTCACCACGATTATATCTTTAATCTAATAATTATAATCAGGCTCGAACACTCAACGAAATCGACGATATCTTCGGTCTCAAAGTCAACACGTAAGATATACCCACCGATCTCTAACCCATTCTGTTTCCACAGTCAAAATCAAATCAGATCTGACATTTTCCCCTTTTATTCAGTTACAAGGGCACAACTCTCGAACCGGGATATACACCACATGCCTTCACCGGCCCAGAGCCCACAGCAACCATTGAAAACGCAAAAACCTATTACGGCTCCTGTCACTGCGGCGCCATAACCATGGCTTTCAAGACCGCGGGTCCGTTGCCTGAGGGATCGGAAAAGATCCAACAATGCAATTGTTCTATTTGCTGCAGGGTATTTCACCTCCCCTACACTACACCCCTTCACCCCCCTTCCCTACCTCTCCACAAGCCAAAAAAAAGATGTCACAACTAACCAACAAACAAACAGAACGGCACGATCCTAACCTACCCCCACAAAACCCAAATCTCAATCCATTCCCCCACAACACCACCCACCCCCCTATCAATCTACACCTTTGGTCGCAAATTCCAACAACACACCTTCTGCCCCATCTGCGGCGTCGCCATCTCGCTCCAAAAGAACAGGCCCGTCGATCCGGAGCTCTTCAAGAAGGAGGCTCCCGCGGGAGCGGATCAGAAGCAATGGGAGGAGAAATTGCCCGTTAATTTGAGATGTTTTGAGGGCGTGGAGTGGGACCGGGTGAAGGTTGAGAATAGAGACTGGAAGAATTATGGGGGGAAATATGAGGTTCCT